TACTATTCCTGACGAAGACAAATCCAAAAACACAAAATTCATAAAAATGGGTCCACCCGCTCTCGAGTTCGTTTATTATTATTATTTTCATTGATGAAATGTCATATTTCAATACTTGTTATCCTATTCCAGATGGTAATATAACACTCTTAGGGCAGCGTTATGTCGATGGATATAGGCCAAAACTGCATATGCTGGACATGCTGATAGCAAGTGCATTAGGTTAACGGGCGCCTCGTCCCAGGCCGAGGCCATCACTCGACTGCGGTGTTGAAGACACCATCCTGGCGAACTATGATGTACCCCTCAGTTTCCGACTACAGCCCATAGGACCTGAGGAAAGCGAAAGTCAGGCGCTTTGATAAGCCAAGGTCTTGAATGTTATTGAAGAAGACCCCATGCATTGGCTTATCCTTGTGTTTCCGCAGAAGTGAGGTGATCTCTGCGGCTTTTATATTAGCTTTTTGGGTTCCAACTGGTGACAGAGTTGTGATCACCTCGTTCTTCGTCGAAAACTCAATCGAGTTCATCAGCTGCTTGGGCATCTGCCCTGAAGAGAAATGCTTCAATTTCTGCCCTCTCATGGTCACAGACCATGCAGAGAAGGGGATCCGAACTCCTGACAACTTTATAGGCTACATCCAATACCATTCTGTCATGTAGATACTCCAAAGTCAAAAGTCCACGGCCTCCCTGTTGTCGGGAAAAGTACAATCGTGGAACGGACGATTTGGGATGCAAACTCCTGCAGAGATGCATCATTTTTTGGGTCTTTACGTCGAATTGATACAACTCCTGTCGAGTCCACTTTACTAGTCCAAAGGAGTAGAGTAAGATTGGAATGGCAAGCATATTTGTTGCAGCAACTTTGTTCTTCCCCGACAGTTCCGATGACCAGATTTGTCAAAGTTTGTGCTGATAATTGCCGCGGAGAGAGTTCTTCACTGCTGTTACCAATAGCTTACGAAGAAGCTGTTGTATGGATGTAGGATGCACAAGAGAAGTGGACTGAAGGAATCGCCCTGAAATAGGTACAGCCCTTTTGAAACTGACACATTATTATCATTATTATTATTGATGGAACATCATATTTAAATACTCATTATTCTATTCCCGACGAAGACAAACCAAAAAAAAAAAATCATGAAAATTGCTCCATTAGTATCATTATTATTATTATTTTATTTTAAACCGTAGTTTGCGTTGGTCAGGTCCTATCCCCGAAGCCCCGATACATTCGGGAGGGCGCGCCAGCATTATCAACCAATGACCACTCCCCACACCGTGGGGTGAGTGTACAATGGGTCCGAGGATCATGTGCCATGAGCAAGCGCAGTGAGCCAAGAATGACAGCTTTCTGCATCTGTGCGGCTAAAGTTTCTGCTTTAGTGCGGCAAGCCGGTATGATTTTTAAATTTGAGAGTAGAGAGGGCATCATTCTACCAAGGACTCCAATAATCAGAACAACCATCTTGACAGAGTGATCTAGATAGAGTATGCGAAGTTCGAAGAGAAAAATCTCGATCTTTTATCAGTTTTTCCTCCTCTTTTTGAATGATATCCGTCTCGTCAGGGGCTGAAAACTCCATGACAAATATTGTCTTGCCCTGGTGGTCGAGAAGGACTACATCAGGCTGATTAGCTTTTATGAGCCTGAGGGTGGGGAACGAATAGTTTCAATGAATTCGGCACTTCTCGTTCCCCACAACGGATTCAATATCCCCCGGAGCGTAGGGCAACACCATAGTCTCGTCAATACCGTAAGAGTGCCGTAGATGGTAATATTGCTTTCTCTTAGGGCCGCGTTATGTCGATGGATATAGGCCGAGACCGTATATGCTGGACTTGCAGATAGCAAGTGCATTAAGGCCTCGGGCGCCTCGCGGCAGGCCCTGCACCTTGTGCCATGAAACTCTACACCCATCACGCGACTGCGGCAGACTAAGGTCTGCAAGCCATGATGAACCCCTCAGTTTCCGACTTCAGCCCACTCGACTTGAGGAAAGCGAAAGTCAGGCACTTTGATAAGCCAAGGTCTTCAATGTTATTGAAAAAGATCCCATGCATTGGCTTATCCTTGTGTTTCCGCAGAAGGGAGGTGATCTCTGCAGCTTTTATATGAGCTTTTTGCTGAACGGGTTCCAACTCGGTGACAGAGTCACATTCCTCTTTAGGGCAGCTGCCCTGAAGAGGAATGCTCCAATTCCTGCTATCCCATGGTCACAGACCATGCAGAGAAGTGGATCCGATTTCCTGATGACTTTACAGGCTATATCCAGTACCATTATGTCATGTAGATACTCCAAACTCAAGTCCACGGCCTCCCTGTTGTCGGGGAAAGTACAATCGTGGAACGGACGATTTGGGATGCAAACTCCTATAGAGATACATCATTTTTCGGGTCTTTACGTCGAGTTGATACAGCTCCTCCCGAGTCCACTTCACTACTCCAAACGAGTAGAGTAAGATTGGAACGGCAAGCATATTTGTTGCAGCAACTTTGTTTTTTCCCAACAGTTCTGATGACCAGATATGTCGAAGTTTGTGCAGATACTTGCCGCGGAGAGAGTTTCTCACTGCTGTTACCTCTTGTGAGTGGCGTTGTTCCACCCCGAGGTAAGTATAAGTCTCTCCGGAATCCAGGTGGTGTATGATGCTTCCATCTACCAGCTGTACATCCTCTCCGTAGTCCCCGCATCCTCCTCTTTCGAGATGTACCATTGCACATTTGTCTATCCCGAATTTCATACCGATAGCATGCGTGTACTCTTCCACCACCCTCAAGGACTGATGGAGATCCTTCTCTCCAGAGGCATACAGTTCAAGATCATCCATATTAAACAAATGGGTGACCTTATTCCTCCGGTTTCCGGGAGTGCCACAGTTATACCCTCGAGTATTTCTTAGCGCAACTGATAATGGCAATAGTGAGATGCAGAAGAGAAGGGGACTGAGGGAATCGTCTTGAAATATACAGCTTCTGAAAGTGACCCACCCTGATTGGACTCTGGCTTGACCAGATATTATGGTGAAGCGAGTTCGCCAGAGTGGTATAAGTTGTTCAATGTATCTCACTATTTTGTCGGGTACCTCAAGGCATCTGAGCAAATGCAAGATGAGCTCATGCGACATTGTTTCAAATGCCTTTCGGTAACCGAAAGTCCTGGGTTACACATCTATGGATGAGAGGTTTTCTTTATATCTAGCGACTCCTCTCTTCGACCCTCTCTGCTCATATATTCGTTCGAACACTCGGTCAACTGCGGTGAGTATTCGTGTGTATAACATGCTTGTAAAAAACTTATAACACGAATTCAAGCATGTTATTGGTCTGTAATTCTTAGGAATCGACAAGTCTATGCTTTTGGGGGCCGCCCCTCGACAAACCAATCCGGAATTGGCTGCTCTCCGTCCAGCCATGAGTTGAAAACTCATTCACAATCTCCAGAGAAATTCAAAATTAAAGTAAAATTCTTTTTTTTTAAACAATTAACTCTTGATATTGAAGATATAAATTCTTCCGTCATTAATTATTTTTGAGTACGAAAAAAATTCGGTTTTGTTTTTATAAATTTAGTGGTTTAAAGTTTTCTATATTTTTGACTAGTTGTTGCCCGTGGCTTCTCCCGTGTAGAATTTTGTTTGCCGCATTAGGTTTCGTGACAGACCATTTTAAACAAATAGTTACAATATCTTTTTATTAACCCAAAACTTCAGGTTTCCAACTTCAAAACTGACGAAATTTAATACAATCTGTGAACGCGCTTTTTCCCCCTTGGGGTGGAAATTCCTGATTCCCTTTCTTGATGCTCATTTACTCTATAAAAAGAACCTACCTGCATATTTCAAGATTCTAGGTTCAGTATGGCTTCGGCTGTACGCTATTATAAGAGCGGACAACAGCTAGTAATTTATATATTCACTTTAAAAATACAGTACAGTAACTGAAAAAAATGCCAACTGTACTGAGGAATGAATAGCTTCGAGAATCGAATTGAGTTACCAGTCGGTAGCTGGGCGGTTCGACGTGAGTGCTTTGTTCACTTAGTCAATCGACCTATGTGTGAGTCAATAGTTCAAGCCCCAAGCTGAACGCTCGATTTTCACTTGCTATTGTCCAACCCGTCTTAGGAATCACACGTTAAAAAGTAAGATCTCGTTAGTCCTTAGCTCGCATAAGTTTCGACTTCTGAGGGTTGTCGTTCGTAGGGGTGCGATAGCTGGTTAACCTCAGACCGCCCCTCTACCTCCGCGCATCGTCCCCCGTCGTCTTACAGTAGACGCGACGCGTTATGGCTTACTGCGTTGCGTCAAGTTAATGTTATCGTTATAACTTTTAAACGATACGTCCAAATCACTAACTGTGAAAGACAAAGTTTATCTACAATGAATACTTAATTTATAAGAATTTGACAGATATTATAATATGTATATTGTAAAAAAAGTATCCAATTTAATTGTATTTATGGTTAAGAATTTTGCATATAGTTGCCACCACATGAGAGGTAGATATATGCTATCGCGGACTTTTATTATTTAGAACTATTTAAGATAAATTATGCGTCCGACGGCCAAAAAAAATTAAGATATACAATCTCACGGTACATTATCTACATGTAACTCCAACGGCTCTCAGGGAGCAAGAATTTTTCCGACTTACTTTACTTATCGTTATATCATGACCAAAATTACACAAAACCTCTGTGAATTGTAGCGCCTATATTATATTCATTTTGATATATAAGCTGTATTTATGTACCGTTTCATCAAAATCCGTTCAGTGGTTTAGACGTGAAAGAGCCATCAACTTACATACATACATTCATCCTCACAAACTTTCACATTTATATTAGTATAGATTTCTAGTGAAATGCCTCATAAAACATATGTTTCTTAGAATTAATAAAGGAATAGTAAGATAGATTTTCGTGAGAAAACATCGAGTTGAAAACGGATTCGAACTCTGGACCTCTCGGCAGATAGACCTATAGGCTCACTACCACTGTTATTCACCAAAATGAAGTATAATCGATGCCCACCTCTGTTAATTTTAACTGGCATCCAAGTGTCTTTCGGAACTTGTCGCGGCTCTCTTGATTCTGGTGTAGGTCTCTGAATGCAGTGTTCCTCGTGATGTTGACGTGGCATTTTAGCAGGGTTGGCTTGTTCAGGGACGTATTCCTTTTCTTTCTTCGATAATTTTGTACAGTATCGAACATCTGATTTACTAGCAGTAGGACATGGGGTACTATCTTTTACTTTTTTTGGTATTGGTTTCGGAGGACAAGTTGGAATTTTTGTAAGTTTGGCTACCTCTTCCTTCTGTTTCATGATTTCTTGACAAGATATCTGTCTGATGTCTGCAAGTTAATAAGATTTACGGTTTATAAACTCATTGAGTTTTATACAATTTTATTTTTGTTTTCATTAGTTTTTTTTAAATATACCTACATATAGGTATACAAATGAATGTTCATACCGATTCACTCATATTATTGATAAATGAAAGAAAAAAAATGTATATTCTATGCATGACGTGCGATATAAACTTGATAGAATCAACTTTAAGAAAAGTGATGATAAGTTTGAATGAACCAAAGTTGTCGGGATGAATAAAAACTGTTTCATTTTCAATCTATCTATCAATCGATATATCTCGATGATAATTTTGAATCTAAGTATGATCGTATGATTTGTCTTATTCTCTAATGGGGTTCTGTGTGGCAGAAGAAAGAAAAATAGATTGGCAGCCAAAGCTTAAAAACAAGTGACTCATCGAAGTAAGGCTTGAATGCAAAACTGCTTGCAAAAAATTTCCGAAAGAAAAATTGGTAGGTAATGAGTGCAGGGCCGAATGAGTTAATCCACATAATAGAGTCAGCTGCCGTGCACCTCCAATGAAGATACTGAAGGAAATACAACTACTGTTTGATCAACAACATTTTTACATAATTACAGTGGATATACAGTGCATTTCTTTAATGCCCCCCCCTTTTATTTTTTGAACGAGTCAACTCAAAAAATTGAATTTTGAGATAATGAAATTAATGCATGAATAATTTGTTTTGAAGTGAAATTGTCAGATGAAACTCTCAAGATGGTGACGAGGCGCAAAAAATAATCAAATTGAAAGAGGGGTCTTGTGACACATCATTTTGAAGCTCCTGACGAATTCTTCACAACTCTGGAATATGAAGTCAATATCTTCACCTACTACAAAATGGCGAAACATTTAATAATTTCCTGAAGACAAACACATTAATATAGATATTTCTAGAAATATTCCTTTTTATCTGCCATATGGCAATTCCAACAACCCGATAAGGATTGCTAAGTTATTTTTTGTTTATAAAAACGACAAAAAATGTCAGTACGAACATCATTGTTCAGTTAGAATATTCTCATTTAGTTTTCGGTTTTACTAGTAGAAAGGTATCACGTCAACATTCTCTAAAATGGTCAATTCTCGAAAATTCAAGAAAACATTTAAGCGATTTTTATTTACGGTGCGACGCGTAACTTTCACGAGACCGAAAGGATTTTCAATGAACGTTTTCCGAATCGTCCTATCTGTAGAAAATATTTGGGGGAACTTGTATCTAACTTCACAACTACCGGTAGTGTATATAACAAAAAGCCCCCAGGTCATCCGTCCATTCCGTAAGAACAGCAAGTGCAAATAATTGGTGAGATGGTAGTGAGCTGTCTCCTTCTACTGTGTGGAGACTTTTGAAGAGGAATAGGTATCATCCATATAAAATTAAAATGGTACACCAATTAACTGAAGATGACCCTGATCGAAGAACATAATTCTTCGAAATCATGACGGAAACCATTGCAAGGCATCCTACCTATCTCCACAATATTTGTTTTAGTGACGAATGTACAGTTTTTTTAACGGTAATATTCACAGACAAAATTGACTTTATTGGAGTGACACCAACCCTCACGTTTTCTGCGAAACACATACCCAATATTCAGAAAAAAATACCGTTTGGGCAGGAATATTCCACCCGTATTTCAGGGGTTTGATCAGAATCCATCGTATATATTGCTAAGGACCTGAAGTATCGATAGAAAATAGAGCCTGAAACCATTTACAGGTTGCGAACAGATACAAACCATTTGTATATGGTTGTGGGGAGCTGGAATATCACTTTCAACAACTAGAAACTTCTCATGCATTTGGGAATTAAGGAATAACATATATTGTCTGGTATAATCCAAAACATATTGAAAAACATCAAATTGGTTTCTATTTGAAATTTGAAAATCTTTTGTTTGAAATTAACGATAAGAATACATTTTTTATAGAACGACCATTTTTTTCACTTTGCTTACATGTTCGAAAATGTATGGTAGAATCTTTATTGATATTTTCTCGAACTTCGAAGAAAGGTTTGCAAAATCAGAATAAGTATCGTTAGAATGTATTCTATCATTTCACGGTGGTTCAAGAAGTGTTCTGAAATTGATACCATATTTCGAAAACAATAATTGTCTCTTTGTTTTTTCAATGAAAACTTCGCTTGGCAACTTCAGTTAAAAGAAACCCGATTTGAGTTCCAATTTGCTTACTAAATCATAAAAACCCTATATTTCCGTAGGGTTATCATTAGTTATCAACCATCGAAATATTATTAGTTATTGATATCCCTACAATTTGCAAATATGTAACGTCAATTTGTTCGTAGGAATCTCTAGTGAATGCATACATTTATATTTTCAATATTTGTTTGAAAAAATGACTCTGTAACAAGAAGTAGAATTTACCTTCCTTTCCCTCTAAAACCTGCTGGCCTTCAAAAGTTTTCGTACATTTCTTGTCTTCTTTTTTGGATCTAGGCTTACAACAGTTTGGAGGCTCAGTAGGTTCCATACTTTTCTGAGTACATGATTTTTGTGTACAGTTAATCGAATCACCTGAAACATAAAATAGCGAATGAATTGATTATCACTTATCTCTAAATATATTTTGCTCACCATGCTGACGTTTCTCTTCTGCATCTATTTTCATTGGACAGTCTGCCGGCATAGGTACTTGCTTACAGTGATCTGGTTTCTTTTCTGTAGCATTCTTAGAGTTATCTCTCTTAGGGTTTTCATCACTACATTTAGGTTTTATCATAGGTAGTTTGGGCTCTTCGCAAACGCTGACTTGCTCACAGCATGGTCTTGGTTTCATGGAGTTACCTTTCGTACAAGTAACCTCACTCGGTTTCATACAATCCTCCCGTGGAGTCTTCTGTTCACACTTTCGATTTGATTTATTTTCGTCAAACTTTTTACAAGAATCATCAGCATTTCGCTTCGATTTACCACACATTTCCTCTTTGGTGGGTTTCTTTTTCGGTTTGAAGTTCTTACAAGGATCTTCTTTGTCATGTTTACAGCCCTGATCATGCTTTTTGCAAGATTCCTCTTTCTGGGTTATTTTTTTATCCTTGTCACAACAAGTTGCTGATGGTTCACCAAAGTCATCAATTTTTTTCTTTGCTCTCATACATGAGTGGTCACTCAAATCGGTTCTTGAATTTTTACGACTTGATGATCTTTGCTTGAAACAGTCCTCAGCTGAACTGCTATTTTTGCAAATATCTTCCTTTTCACAAGGATTCGGTTCTTTTTTCGGGCAAGAATCCTTTTTTTCACAAACAACATATTTCTCTTTGCCATTGCAAGAATCTTCTTTTTTTTTGTTACAACTCTCTTTTTCTTTTGTGTTGTTGCATATATTTTTTTCAATTTTTATTTGTCTACAATGATCCTTCTTTTTTTTCTCTTCTTGTGTTTTCTTACATTTGTTATCTTTTTTTTCTTGCATACAAACGTCTTTTTTTGTATCCTTCTTGCACGGATCTTTATTTTTGTTTTGAGAATCGTTATTTCCATCACTTTCATCATTTTTTCTCAGTTTGTCAATGCAATCTTTAGCAATTATCGTGATTTCGTATTCACTAGGATCATAAATCTTTTCTTTTTTAATACACGGAACTGAAATGGTACAATTTGTACTAGGATCTCCTTTCTTTTGATTGTTTTCGAGGGGGTCTATGATTTCTAGGTTGTTTTTTGGGTCATTGATTTCTTTATTTGTCTTCTCTGATAGGTTCAGTTCACTTTGACCGGTTCTCAAATGGTTAATATTTGATAATGATCTGTAAATCTGGATATCACTTTCATTATTTCGATTTTTGTTGAAATGGTATTGTAAATTCCGCTCCAAACGTTCTATTGCTAAAAAATAAACTTTTTAAAACTAGATAAAAAATGAAAGATCAAAAATATGTACCTTCTTTGACCTCCTTGTATTGCAGATATTCCTGTTCAATGAGAGGCTTGAGTATTTCATAAATGGCCTTCGCTAGTACAGGCTTGTTTATATCAGTTGGACCCTGATATAACTGCAGTTTTTTATCATTTGACTTGCCTCTTTTACTGGAAATACTTTCGTGATTTCTAATTTGTTTATTTGTTTCTTTAAAACCGTTAACAAATTCATATGTATTCTCAGAAGGAAGCGAACCTTTACTCGTTTTCTTAGCATCACTGTAAACTTTAATAAAGGCTTCGTTAGTACCGACTTTATATTTAACATTCCTAGTATAATTACTTAATGTTTTGGATTTAGAGGAATGGCATTTTACAAGTAGAAATAAAGGGACAGTACTCTTACTTCTGATATTGGTTACGCTTCCTTTGCCTTTCACCAATAATGCACTCTTTTCCTTTTTGTTATTATTAAGAAACGCAAGTAACTCTAGCCGTGGGTTATAAGTCGCTGTTTCATCGTACGATTGTCTTTGGAATTTCTCTTCTTTCTTCTCATATCTGGGATAATTTTTTTTTATTACGGAATATGAAGAGCTAGTTCGTTTCTGATGGTTGACTTGTCTGGATTTTTTTGAACTACTTCTCCTTTTTTGGGCGCAACTCTTGCATTCTATAGGTTTGAATATGAAATTATTGACTTTATTCGCTTCATGACGTTTTTCTATATTTTTTTTCTTATTGATATCGTTGATTATGTTATTGAGATTAACAGTGAACTTGACATCCCCCCTTTTCTGTACATGCTTCTTTTTGCATTTCTCTTCTGTAACAGTGATACAATCTTCTGTGCATATACTATCTCTTGTGGAATGGTCTTTCTTATCTGCTTGTCTTCGTCTAATGTCGCGTTCACTTTTCTTTGAGGTGTTTTGACAAAAAAATCTTCGGAATTTTTGATTTGGTCGATATGAAATTTTCATTAACGAACTGGAGAGAGACTTAGTTTTTGGAAATTCCAGCCAAGTGTAACGTTTATTGATTTTGGAAACATATTGTTCAGATGATGATGAATAATTTAGGTGTTCGGCCAGAAAAGGTCGAATTGCATTTTTAGGGAATTTTGTGAAGATTAAAGAGTACTCCAGTATGTTCAGCGAAGATGGGTGTTTCTGAGCCAACTGAAATTTTAATATTGTTCAGCTATATTGTATTTCTAAACCTATCAAACTTGACTTACTGTTGTTTTCAGTAGACTTGCATTTCTCAGTATGGAATTCATTACAAAAATTTGGTCACATGAAACGGGAAAAACTGGACTGAAGACTGACAATTTTGACGTGAAAGAATCGGATGTGAATTATCCACATCTTCCTTGATCGAATGTCATAATTTCACTTTAAACAAAAATGGTTTGAAATTCTTGTCAATCCGTCAAAATTTTCAAATACTTTCAAAATTCTCAGTGATGTATAAGTTAACAAAAACCCTTTCAAATACATATTCATCAGTAAGTTTCACAGCAGGGTTATTCGTACGCTATGAAAAAATCTGTAACCTTTTCAGGTTTCTCTCCATGCCATAAAGTCAGTACAGAAACACATACAAAGCTCCTCGCAGGGAAATCTTCTCAAAAAGAAAAAATCATTACCCAGTTTTTCTCAAGTTCCATTCGGGCAGTTGGTAGATAAAGTATTGAAGAGAGGTGTTTCAAATTATACAATTCATCCAGAAAAACTGAAACAGATCATGAAAGCAAATGAAAGTCAAACACTGTGCAACTTTTTTGGATCAGCAGAATATCAAAAACGATTGCGACAAATTATGGAAAATCAAAAGAGATTACTATCAGAAAGTTCTCCAGCTGGTAAGCCAGATGTAATGTGGAAAATTTTGTTTCGGTGACTATTCTAGATTGTATACATTGATTCAGGCTAATTTTTCAAAGTTTCAAAATAACACACTTTTTTTGTCGCCATTTTTTTCGGAACAATATTTTATAATTAGAGAAAGATAATTTCGTTAATTCACACAACGACCTCATATATTTGAAAGGGTGTTTTTGAGAGCAGAGATTATTATTTTAATTATTAACGAAATCTCAAAGTTTTGTTAGTTTCTTTGGTGGAAGAAGGTCCACAAATTTTCTTAAATATCAAATTCACCAAACACTTAGTTTAAATTCGGCATTCAATAAATTTATGACTTCAATTTTAGAATCTGAATGACTTCCGAATTTAAAGTCAGAATTTAAGAGAATTTGGACTTTTCAATGTGGAAGCTGTGTGGCACGTCGTTTTCAAAGAAATATGGACCGATAACGTCGCCAACTTTAATCCACACCAAACAGTGACTTTGGACGCTCTTTTCACGTACCCATTCATCCAGAAATGGGTCTCATCGTTGAAGATGATTTTTCGATTAAATTAGGGTCAGTTGCCAACTGCTCCAGAGCCAATTTAACGAACACACGTTGTTGTCTATGGTCATTTACCTTCAGTTCCTGGGTCAGTTGAATATTGTACGGGAAAAGGCCCAAGTCTACGGAAGTTGTGGTCTGCGAAAGGCCGAGTTCTTGTGAGCTACGCGAGATCGACTGACTTCTCCTGCACTTCCCTGTTGGAAGACCCTATAGATGCACTTGTAATCCAACGCCAGACAAGAATGTTTCGACCCGCCATGGTTCCATCAGTGATGCTAGGCTCTTATTGGATCGACAGAAAACTCAATTTTCGAAAATAAAAATGAATGAGGTTCTACAAGGTGGTCAGTTGCAGAGCAAACTTTGACATTGATCGCCAAACGAGATTCGTCCTCTGTCTTTCACCGAGAGATTGAAGTGGAAATTTTTTAATAATCATTTTGTTAAATTCCAATTTTTAGAAATTTTTCTTGCATTCCTAGTTCAAACAGGAAATGTTATTAAAGGGGCCACACTTCTGAAAGTTTGGTATGTTGTTTTACTCGAACTCGTAACCAAAAGTGTCAGTCGGCCCAATCCAGTCCTATGGCTAGTTTTCTTAATACGGGGTGTCAAATTTGAAAATTGTCCAGTTTTTCGAACTTATTTCTGTTTTAATCAAAAGTTAGATTGGATGTCGGTTGCATACAGGCGTTTACTACATGATCTAGTAAAAAATTAAAGGATTCGTATGATTGAAAATATTTAAATTCACAAATGTATTTTGCAAATTATTACTTTTTCTACTGTGACGTAAGGAAAGCATATCAATTCAAAACTCTGTATTCATTGATTGATTTTTCAGAAAGGTAATACCACGCACGTTTGAGTACTTCTGCTTATTCTTTTCTCAAATCATATTTATCAAACCGAACTCAGTGTGTTGAAATAGAAAACGAAATATCAAATAGCATAGTGGTTCACCAAGTGGTTTCACAAGGTAGTGTATTGAGTCCACTTTTATATACATTGTATACCTCTAATTTTTATAATCATCTACATATTGCAATTACCACATGCTTGCTGATGACTCGCAAATTTATTGTGCATTTAAATTGGAGAATATGAGAGAAGCTAATATAAAAATCAATCGTGATTTAGAAATCCTCCTTAATCTTTCTGATGATTATCTTTTATCTATAAATTGTAATAACTCTTCTGCTGTATCATTTGGTAACGATACTCAGAAACATGAAGCTTATATGCTGACTTTCAGTGAAAGCTGGAAAAATTTAGGTTTACTTATAAATTCTAAAATTGTTGTCGTTGAATGATGTATCACATTAGGAGGAGAGAAAGAATTTTCCATTAGCTGAAGGACGCGGGATGGTTGATTATGTATAACAGACGGAAATTACAAAGTTATATATAGGACAGATATGCATAACGTCAATCGTTGTTGAAAAAATATGATCCATATTCTTGCACGCAATAAAGAAATGTATAAATGGTCATTTACCTACCAGATATATCTACACGGCAATCTCCTATATATAATTGTTATTTTCAGCTATTCATTTTCAATTCTTCTTCTTTTTTAGTTGTTTCAGGAATTTCAAATCATTTTATATAGTAGACAATGGAAGTCCGAAATAGTGAAATTCATTTTATGTTATGGTGAATAGAAATCATGAATAACCTATATTCTAAAATTTTTTCCCATTAAATGTAACACTTTTGACACTATTTGTATAATGATTTTATTGAAACATTTTGGGAGGTATGTATTCTACATCCTATACTATGACCAGTTTTCAAAATACGTGGTGTTTTTCTTCAAAATGAAAAGCTTAATTAATTTTATGTTGCGCTAATGAGTGTAATATTAGTTTTGGTTAGTTGACCAAGAAGATGTTCGCCTAAAAATATTCACTATTACAAGGTTATTCACTAATAAATCAAAATAGATTTTTGCAAACACTCAATAATTCTACAGTTCCGTCACAGAGAAATCATTCCATGAGGTTAACACCTAGTCATGTACTATTTTGAGGCTAAAAAATGTCGCTGTGATTACTTTTCATACAGCGTGAGTTATACAGCCAACCACACCAAAAATAATTATGCTTTGAGAGTACTTAAACGAGAACTTGCATTTTTTACTAACTTGATAGACTTTATACCAGGTAAGCATAACCTATAGAATTTCGAATATACAGAGTTATTATTGATAACATACAAAATATATCAGTACACTCACACACACACACACACACACACACACACACACACACACACATATAAAATAAATAGATGAGTACTCTTTGATCATTCCCATATTGATTTCAATTTAAGAGCCACCGGTATACAGCTGTTTCAGCCTATTGGCAAGTTGACTTGGGTGTCACACCAATAAGTGGTTCCACTTATGTTTCACTTGCGTTTAGGCAGCTACTTTCATCAAGTACTTTCTTGGTTTTTTTCTCATTTTGTCTTCAATCGAGGACCGCCTGCCCGGTACTGACGATGCCCAATAGGCTGAAATGGCTGTCTACTGGTGGCTCTTAAATTGAAATCAATATGGGAATGATCAAAGAGTACTTATCCCAATAGGCTAAAACAGCTGTCTACCGGTGGCTCTTAATTATATGGCTATTTATTATATGCGAGTGCTTTCGACAGCTGGTCGTGCTATCATCATCAAGGCTCTACTTAAACTGCTATTCGAAATAGATGAACACTTCAATCTAGCAGACCACTATTATAATCGACATGCAGTGATTGTTCACTCTGGTTATGGCGTTGAATCTGGTCATTGCTACGCATTGGTCAAAGACAAAGTGGACTGATGTAAGTTTGACGATAGTCTTGTCACTAAATATTCTGGCGATATCTTGAATTTTTTGGAGCCTCTGGAGACACGAAATATACCTTACACGAAATATACCTTTTACAGAAGATATGATAAAAATTGATTTGTATAGTCTAATTCAAATTCATAAACCGCGATATAAAATGTATAAAATTGATGAAATTATGAGCGCCCACGGGCATAGGTACTGTAGACAACTTTAATCGCAAATATGTGCATCTTTGTTCCTCCGAATGCTTCCTAGATCTTCATTACGCGCAGGCCACAAAAATTTCACCCTTTTTCCTATTCTTGACAAACTGTACAACCATTATCTCTCCCCAGAGCCAAAAAATGAGTCCAATTATTTCCTAGAAGACGCCTAACCGACGCGCTCTACCCCGAATATTTTTTTGTGATTTTTTTCTACTTAACAACACTTTGATTCGATAAAACAAAAAGAAAGGCTCTACTTCTATAGGGTTTATACATGATAATAATATGAATGATAATGCGTTTATTAACAGAGAACAGTCTTATACCACAGAATTTTTGAAATTACTGTTTGTACTTTATAGTATTTATATTTACCAAAATAAACCTAAAAAAACTTAATTTATTGAAGTGATTGTCAGAGTTGACTCTTTACTTATATTTTATCTGCAGGTATACCAGAGTCCCAAATAAAATACGAACATATCATCAACTGTGCTCAACCTGTGATAAACCTTAAGAATGAAGTGAAAAATGAGAAACCCCAAGAAGAAGTAATAACACTTCTAGAAAAGAAGAAAAAGAAAAAACCTATTCGAACTACTATTATGTCAGTAATATTGAAAAAGAAGAGAAAGGAACAAGAGGAATTGATTGCCAGGAGAGGCCATTCAACTATTATGCCTTTAGTAATGCAATCTAAAATGAGAAATAAGGAAATGAAAAAGAAATTCAGACGAAGAACTACGATACTACCTATTTTTTTGCAAAAAATGGAACAGATTAAAGAAAAAAATGAAGCAGGCACCGATAAGCCAGGTGACGAACACCTCAATAGTTTTTATAAAATAAAAAAATTAACTGCTCCAAAATCTCAGAAGAAAACTGAACTATGTAACTACAAAAATGATAATTCACTGACACATAATATCGATTCAGATGGAATCCAGGACTCTTCAGGACTTGTAGAAAAATTAATAAAAAGTCACATAAACTCATCTTCTAAAGGTATAATTTCTTCTGAAGTCTTTCAAACATTCAATCTATTTTTTCAGATGGAGAAATACATACTGAAAAAGTCATACGCTCAAACAAATATTCAGACATGAATTTTCGCGAAGATGACATTTCAAATGAACAAGAAACTACCAAAATTGTGGTAGAGGACTGCCAACCCAATCCACAAGGTTCCTAAATGATGTTTCTTGAACCCTCAGTTGATTTTTTTATCTCTATTTATCTCTAAATTTTGTTCATAGTTTTCGGTTTATTTTCTTTACTTATTTTACTTTTTCAATATAGGTATGAACCATAGCCACTCTTCATATGAAGTTCCTAAAAATACCGAAACTATACCTGAAAAAAGAAAGGTAAATAAAAAGGCTTTCTGGAGAGAATTTATGAAGAAATGGAAACGATCTTCTAGAGGAAAGCTACTGAAACAAGAAGTTAGTAAATCGTGCGAAATGAACCTGCCAATGGAGAACACTCAATATGAAATTGATCCTAGCCTTGTTGATGTTATAGACGTCAGTCACATTCGTAGTAGTAGCAGCTCACCTCGCCATGTGTTACAAGAATTTCCTAAAAAAGTTTCTAAACCTGAAATATCCAATCTTTTTACCAGAATGAAAGAAGGTACGAATAGTTCGTTTGATCCATCTCTCGATTTATGAAATCCTCTTGATTATATGAATGAAACAATTTACTATGTAGCATGAGAATTTGAAAATGTTCTACCGTCAATGTACCACCCTATTCTTATTTCTTTAAGATAAATAAAAAAGAGAATCATAAAAAGTACTTCAATTTCGTTTTCGAAATTAAGAAATATCTTCGGCTCTCACGATTTAATAAGAAGGGAACCAAGGGTCACATCATTTTGAAAGGTTTTTTATTATTTTTTCTATGGTGCCGTAATTTATTTTTATTTGACCACCAGCTTCCGAAAAATCGCTTTCCAAATTCAAAGGTATTTAGTGCTCACCTGCACTGACGGAAATTGTTTTCATGTTAATAATTATTACTAGAGATTCAACATAACAAACGTTATTTATAACAACTTGACATGTGTTTCAATCACCAAGTGATCATCTTCAAGAGGAAGGAACTTCAGTCTTCCTCTTGAAGACGTGTCGAGGTGTTGAAAATAACGGTTTGGTGTTGAGATAGAACTCCAGTAATATTCATTACTACACCAAAGGTTACAAACAGTGCATCACAAATATATTATGTTAATCTTTCGATACAAAATATTGAATTAAGTCTTCCTTCAGCAGATATGATGATAAAAAAGTACTCGTAGATAAAATGAAACAATCCATGATGATAATCATATAATTTTCATAATAAATTTTCGCTTGACGGTAGTTTCATCCGTTACTAGTACATCAAACTATTCTTCTCCAATGTCTTTTATATAACAGGATTACCTACTGTTAGTTATGGTAGGTGGCATACGAACACGGCTGTCAACTGAACATTTTTGAAAAAGTTATAAATTCCTAAGCGGCTTTCATAAAATTCGTTCTTCATATCAACATTTTGTCATGCCTTACGAATTAGTTATACATGGGGGGAGGGGGGTAAGGTCAACCCTACCCTAGGTTGAAGAACAGTTTTTCTTTTGTACGACATCGATTCGATGCCGTACAAAAGACGTTACACCCTGATATACAGGGTGTAACATAAGTACATTGAAATATACAAGTTACGTATTCCTCGCATCGATTCGAAAATGTGATATGCAGGGTGTAACATAAGTACATTGAAATATACAAGTTACGTATTCCTGAGACAATTGTAAGAAAAAAGTCTAGATAAACTTGAATTCAATTGAATTGTTTTTTATTTTGACGAGATTCACCACATACTTAGTTTTTTTAAAAACATGGTTGGTTTTTGTCACGAGTTTTTTGCAATTTTAGTTATTTTCATCAAACATTTTATAGTAAAAAGTTGTTAATTTTGACGAGATGCACCACATACTTAGTTTTTGTCATGTTCTCAGCTACTTCACTTAGCCTAGGAGCTAAGTAATATGCATCGATATAGAAAATCGTAAATATTTCGAAAACGATCACCTTCAGCGTTGTTGAGGAAATGTACCTTGTTAACTTGAAAGAGGTGTCGGAACTAGGTTTTTCTATGAAAATCTCCGAAAGTTTACTGTCAAATTTAAAATAATATTTTGAATATTTGAAATAAATACGCAGCGCCCTCTAGATGTTACAAGAAAATCAATATGAAATTATGATTTCCCACGTCAAAAAAATCCCGGTTACCAAATTTCGTGCAATTAACTTATTTTTTGCAAAAGTCATTTTTAAAAAACAAACAAAAAAATTCAATTTCAACACCCTGTATCTCCGAAACGAAGCATTTCCGGACACAAGTTCATATAGACTTTTTTCTCAAAACTGTCTCGGGAATACGTCACTTGAATATTTTAACGTTCTTATGTTACACCCTGTAAACAATATCACATATTTCATTGTTTATAGTTGTAGTCATATCGGAGAATTTTGATTTCATTATTGATTATAGGGAGTAATGATACACCTTTGCAACCTGTTGAAGATGAACCATACTCTAAAAGGCGAATATCTACATGTTTAATGACACCATCTATCAGTTTTTCCCCAAGTTCGACCTACAAGACTGTGTGTGAAGGCAAAGAAAGGAAAAAACAGATTCTGAAGAACAATTTTTTAGGCGAAGTCGATTTCTGGAAAAGATCCGTATTTGAAAATCCACACACAATATCTACAAAAAAGAAGAGAAAAAGCGGAATTGTCTAAATACTGGCACTCAAACCAAAACACTTCCCTCTACTGGAGATAAAGTAACCAACCTATAATTGAGGTATTCTTCTCAGCATTTTTTACTGCATACGCCATTAGATATTTCTCAAAGTAAATTTTATCAAAGATGATCTTTCTAATCTCGATGTGAAAATGAACCTTCCACCCAAATCATCAATGATTAATACATTCAAAAAATCGAAAATTATCTTAGTATTTATATGAAAATCCATATAATGTATTCTTCATTATTCTTGCTATTATTATCTCTGAAGCCCCGATACAATCGGGAGGGCGCGCCAGCATTATCAAACAATGACCAATCCCCACGCCATGGGTTAAGTGATCATTGGATACGATAATCATGTGCCCTAAGCAAACGCAGTGAGCCAAGAATGACAGCCTTTTGCATTTGTTCGACTGAGATTTCTGCGTTAGTGCGGCAAACCGGCATGATCTTGAGATTTGAAAGTAGGGAGGGCATTATTCCACCAAGAACTACAATAACGACAACAACCATCTTAACAGAGTGATCTGAATAAAGTCTGCCAAATTTGAAAAAAAAATCCCGATAAATCACCCGTAGCTGAAAACTTTGCCACAAATATCGTCTGGTTCTGATATTTTGAAAACACTTCATTAAACTTATTAGCTTGTATGAGCCTAAGGGTGGGGAATGGAAAGTTCCAATAAATCCGGTACTTCTCGTTCCTTACGATGGATTCCATATTCTCCGGATCGTAAGGGAACACTGATGTCAATACCGTGAAAGTGCCGTGGGTGGTAAAGAAGCAATATTTGAGTCGAGATATGTCGATGGATATAGGCAGAGACTGCATTAGGGTCTCGCGGCAGGTTCTGCATCTTGTGTCAAGAAAATATATAGCTATCATGCGACTGCGGTAGGCTAAGGTGTTGGAGACACCATCCTGGCAGACCATGATGAACCCCACAGTTTCCGACTTCATACCACTCGACCTGAGGAAAGCGAAGGTCAGACGCTTTGATAAGCCGATGTCTTCAATTACCTCGGCATTGGCTTATTCTTGTGTTGATGCAGGAATGAAGTGAATTCTGCGACTTTATTATGGACCTTCTGATGGACGGGTTCCAACTTGGTGACAGAATTGTGATCACCTCGTTTAGTGTCGAAAACGAAACCAAGTTCATCAGCCTCTCGAGCAGCTGCGCTGAAGAGAAATGCTCAGTAACTGCTCTCCTATGGTCGCGGATCATGCAAAGAAGGGGATTCAAACTCCTGATGACTTTTACAGGCTCCATCCAGTACATTCCAGTACCAAGTCCACAGCCTTTCTATTAACAAGGAAAAAGCAACCGTAGAATGGGCGATTTGGGACGCAAGTTCAATTGGAAATACTTTTTGAGTCTTCACTTCGAGTTGATACAGCTCCGTTCAGGTCCATTCCACTATTTCAATCGAGTAGAGTAATATTGGAATGGCAAGCATAGAAGCTACTTGGTCTTCCTCGACAGTTCCGATTTGTCGAAGTTTGTGCAGATACTTGCCGTATAGAGAGTTCTCCACTGTTCCACTAAACACAACAAAACACAGGAAGTTTCATTTTTAATGATGATCTCCTACCACGTAGTAATGGCTACATCCATCAAGTTAATGAATATTTTCTTTTGTTGTATTATTCTTCAATAATGGATATTCGGGAGAAAATGACAAATAGTTGCATAAATGTCCACTTTACATTTTGCTTCGGCATATAATTCGGAAGAGGCTATTCTGTCAAGAAGTTCAATGCAATCATATCCAGCATTGAACTCAGCATATTTCTTCAAATTATTTCATTGTATTCAGGTAATTAATAAATCAGTCGTCATTTTGATATGTCAAGATACTGATTTCATATATTCTAGCGATATGAAGTACTCGTCAGGTCTTGAAGCGCCTGACGCTACATTTATGTTTTTCGAAATGGCCCATTTCGAATTATTCCCCTGCAAATGTTACTATGATATAATATTCGTGTATGAATTTCATCAAGTGAAGTTTCAATTTTTTTAATTGACTCGTTGAAAATATAAAAGGAGAGGACATTAAAAAAATAACATTTCAAATAATCATATAGAAAGTACAGCTTTATTCACCTATCAACACTCAAAAGTACTAAAAAAATTGGTAATGTTTCTGGAAGAAGTGACAAATGCGCATGAATATTCTAGCGGCTTCGATTTGCAGGAAGCGCTAAAGTTAACGTAACAACGCGATAACAATAGACCAGGGAAAGCGAGGTGAACTAGTGTAATAATTATAATTTCACTTCCGTGAATCTTAACTTATAAATTATAAAATCACCAAGTCGTGAGTTTTCCACAGTCTTAATGATATCAAGCAGTGAAGTAATATTATGGTTATTAGTTACTTGAAAATGTTAAAAACAGTCTTCTGACTGCATTGAGAAACATAAAAAGTTTTATCGAAATTGAGCAACAAACATTGTGGTAAAAACACATTGTCTCACATAATGTTTTGCCAATATATTTTGAATATAAATAAAATGATAATCATTTGTTTGTAGTCCTTCCTGATCCTAAATTTTAATTTTTTTTCCAGATATTTAATAAGTCTACCAAAAACTACACCAGAAGGATACAGAGTATTGCTTTACTCGGTCAAAGACAATGACCCCACAAAAATGGTTTTTAGTGACTGCATCAAAGCTTTTTGTATGTACAATGACATCATTTTGTCCGAAGATGGTCTGCAAGAAGGGTAAGAGATTTTTTATTATGTTGAACACTAACAAAATAGAGCACGAAGATAATCTCGAATGGTTAGAATACGTATGATATACATATAATTCATAAATACTATACACAAGATCATAACAATCAAATTTTGGTATTTTCATATAAAATATAGTTATTCAACTGATATACTATACATTTTATATATTGAAAGACCGGTATGTCAAATGTTTTCATTATATAAAGTTTTTCAAAAAATCCGCTAATTTCAACACTTCATATTGATAATGATATATTGTGCATTTCATTAGTTCGGACTTCCATTGTCTAATATGATATAAATTGATTTGAAATACCTGAAAATCTGTAAAAACAACCAAAAAATCAAAAAAAAATTGAACTGTTAACACGAGATGAAAAAAAATTATCAACAAGAAATGGAAATTGAAAATTGAATAGATTCTAAACTGAATTAATTCACGACGTTTCGAATGTTAGTATCCACAATCGTCTTCGGGTGATAACTGAACTTATTCGTCCGAGATCTGACTATTTTATCATATTAGACAATGGAAGTCCGAACTAATGAAATGCACCAAGAAACATTGTCAACCACCTTCAAACAAATAATACTTTTGTTTGTATGTGAAAATTAATAAAGTTGGCTCATGTGACATATGCTGTTGAGTAAACACCAATTTGAACACGGCTAGCCTCACCTACAGAAATTTATGCGTTTCTTATTGGCACTATCTTGTTTCTTATTCATTGAGCTATGCTTGAAGACAGGCAGTAAACAAATCTAAAGAAATGAACTTTAAATGTTCAAGCCAGTCTCGTAAATACCTGAACAGTAGGTTGAATGGACTGACGCCTATATCAGAAAACAACATCTTCCCTGGCTAATATCACGAACGGCATTGGATTATATCCGAGAAGTGGCAGTGCAGGAATCTTCACAGAAAATTTTCTGTATATGCAATTAGCAATAACTGAAAGAGTTGACCATCAATTTTGGAGGCACACTTGCAGACCGGTGTCAGGCTCCTTAGTCACTCGTCAGTGCAAGATAGTGGCCATCATCGTCCTGAAGTCAATGATATTTCATAATTGAAAATCCCCCCATGCCCCCTCCCGGGTTGAATTCCCTGAAGTAGAAGCTTCCCCCCCCCCATCTAGTTAGCGAGGAAAACCTACTACCCCACTCCATCCACCACCGCTCTCCGAGCGGTCCTCAACTTACTGATGGACACTTCAGCAAGATTGACATCTGACCTCTTTTGGTCGAAAGTCAGCCTTTAGGTGCTATTCTTTCGCGATCGGTAAAAATGTTTTGTCATGACTATTCCTAACTGAATTTTTGCATAGGGGCCCCCAAAAACAAACCGGCGGCTATTGTTATTAGCGTCGAGCGTTCCTCAGTGAATCTAAGGATAATTGAATCACGGTCGAGTTGTTCTGCGGTGAACTTGCTGAAAGAAAGTCGGATTAATATGCTTACCGGAGTCGCCTGACGGCGACTCATGGGGGTGGTAGATTCTATTTCGTCGAATTAAAAATCGAAATCCTTTCAGAGTATTTCAATCCTCGTCCTAAGTTGGAGCGAACAACAAAAATGTCACTCCATCTAGTGGACGAGGTACCAAGTGCATATCCAAAATTTGTCCGATTCCCCTGAATAAGGAAGAAAAACTTAGTCAGTGGGCTATGCTTGAAGACAGGCAGTAAACAAATCCAAAGAAATGCCAGGGGAGTAGTTGTTTTCTGATAGGCGTCAGTTCATTCAACCTAGTGTGTAGGTTGATCCGAGACTGGCTTGTACATTTAAAGTTCATTTCTTTAGACTATCTTGTTTTATATAATTTATAATACATTACCTCATGATGATAATTGAACTCATTAAAATGTTGGTATATCTTTGTTATAACATCTGGGCTGTTACAAAGAAAACTCTCTGTTGTGGTAAGTAGCCTACTGTTGTGTGTCAAGCTTTCGGTGTATTTAATGTTTTTCCTATCCGTTTTGAGCCATTTTTTATTTTATTCTTACGTTAGTGAGTTCTCCATATTTATATCCCACAAGATATATAATTCCATTACATGAAAATGAAAAAATAAATAGATGAGTACGGTTCAGGTCATCTTTAATTTGATTTAAAGCCACCAGTAAACAGAAGTCGTCTGCTCTTGAAATCAAATTGTGGATGATGCGAATAGTACTGGGTAAGGTAGTCAAAATAAGCCTGTTAAGCTTTTTTGTCATTTTCGGAATTGATTTTCTTCTTCAAGAAGCTTAGATAACAAAAATAGTATATTTTATATTATTTCTGTTAGTCGAATAAACGCTACACTTCATTTATACAGTTGATCTGGACGTTCCTTCAGGACAGTTAACAAAATGTTTTTCAAAATTTCATGACAATATCTATTTTTATTACTCGTCCAGTGCTCTCAAAAATATATAAAATGCTATATCCACTCGTATCTCAATATCTTCTACAGAATCATCTCAATAAAAAAGTTGTTTTTATCTCAATGTATCAAATGAATATATTTGTCACAGATACATCGTAGTTTTCGACATGAAAGGAGTTCAGTTAGGACATTTGGCCAGGGTTAGCTTACCAGCGTTGAGGTGTTTCATGCTGTACATTCAGGTAAGTTACAATCAATGCTTTTATTTAAAAAGTGTCGACCCCAAATACCTTGGTTGTTCTGAAAATGAAAATCTTACATTCTCAACTATCATCATTTTTATATTTTGAACTAATTGATTTTTGCCTACGTAAAAAATAGTAATGGCATGATATTCAACATATTCGAATATCATCAAATTATTAAATTTATTTCTTTCATATATATATTTTCAACAATTTTTTGGGCAGTAGGAAGTTATAACTCCTGATATAATCATTGTTTCTGAAAGTGTTACGTATGTTTTTGGAAACTATAATAGTGACTACAAAAAAACGAACCAATGCAACTATTCAGCTTATAAAAAAGTATAATTCAATTTAAAGTACTTCTTGAGATCACTGAATATAGTTGGAAAAGCTAGCATTGAAAATTCACATGTAATGGAGTACCCACACAAGTATGTCCAAGCTTCAAGAAGCGTTTTATGTACACACTAGACTAGACGATTCAAGTGAAATAGGCAGTGTGTAAAAGCCAAATGGAATAAATTTATTATTTCGGTTACGGTACATATTTTAACAAAATCCCGATACAAGTCAAATTTAAATTATAATTTTACATACTTCAACGGAAAAAAGTTATCCCTACCTTCAACCCCCGTCAAATGACAGGTTCAACCCCTAATTATTTGAATTATTTGTGATATATCGTTTGAAAGGTCTCTTCATTCTCTATTGAAAAATGTTATTGCTTTCAAATGCATTGCAACAATTAAGATAAAATAAATTAAAATCATGTGTTTACCGAAATTCGATAAAGTACAATCAAAACTTATTGCAGTATACTCAAAACGTATTTCATGTTGAGGTATCGATAAAAAGAAAGAAAGCAAAAACCATATCAAAGTTCTTTTTAGATGGTATCCTTTAAAAATCTCTAAATAATTTCTGTGACAAACTTAGTTTAAAACGCCTCGCCTTGTCAACTTTTTTGTATGTTACAACATTAGTTGTCAGTATTTTGATTCAAGTTTAAAGTTAGTTAACTTCAAGTCTGACAAATGGTTAGATTACCTGAAATGCGTAAAATAACAGTTACACAAATGATTGGTTACGGAGATAAAACCCAAACATAACAGGAAGTAGCTCGCCTTTTTCATGAGAAATTACCTAATTTACCGCCCATATCTCAAGGAACAATAAGCAAAATAGAGAAGCAGTTTCATGAGCTTGGTCATATGGGGCAGATAAAAAAAGCAGCTGCGAATGCAATGAGTGATGCACTTATTGAGTAGACTGGCATCCACTATATTCAATGTTAGCCATACATCGATAGTAAACATATCAAAAAAAATAAATAAAATGCATCCCTATAAAATGATACTTACGATTTTTATAGAACTTATTTTTGTGAGCGAATTGAGGGCAACTTGAAAGGCGATAATTATTTGGCACTACTACAAAATGATGTCATTCCAAGTTTAGCAGGAAACCCTCAAGTTCCAGTAAATATGATATAGTTTCAGCAGGATGGAGCACCACCACATTACCAAGTTAATGTTCGGCAATATCTCGATACATTTTCCAATCGGTGGATAGGGAGGCGAGGATCGATTGAATGGCCAGCGCCATCATCATTAGATTTATTTTTATGGGGATATGTTAAATAATGTTAGAAGACATTTTTATTTGAGACGAGTACTATGTTGCTGTAACGCTGCTGTTCCAATGTTTTGACATAATCAGAATCAACGAACTTAGGCGTGCGCAGCGTTATGGAACAGCGCTTCCAAAAAATTGTTCTACAGTGCCATCTAGTGGCGAGTTACAGAAAAATTGATAGCCTAAAAACCTTCTTTATGAAAAATTACTTATACATATCAAGTTTCATCACGATCGGTTGAGCGATGTAGAAGTTTATCACTTACCAACCAACCAAACAACAAACAAACATTCATTTTTATATATTAGATTAGGATGTTGTCAAGACGTTCGCGGTGAACATTTTGAACATCTACTTCGTTAACATCCGTAGTTCTTTTTCGTATTACGTTACATTTTAGTTTTTGAGTGTATTTTATCGAATTTCGGATATCACATGATTTTAGTTTATCTTATCTTAATTGTTGCAATAAACATGAAAGCGATAACATTTTTGAATGAAGAAATCTTTCAAAGAATATATCACAAACCTATACTTCCTATTCAAAAAATTGGGGGTTGTACCTGTCATTCGAAAGGGGTAGTAGGTAAGGGTGGCATTTTTACGTTGAAGAATGTCAAATTATAATTTACATTTGACGTGTTTCGGGATTTTTTTAAATATATACCGTAACTAAAATAATAACATTATTCCATTTGGCTTTTACACACTGTATTTGATTGTTACCGACTTCATGTTCGACTTGAAATGGTTTAACTTTCCAGTGAGATTACTCACTAATATAGCACTGCCATTTGAAAAAATATCAGAATCAGTAGTAAAAGAGCAATTAGTAGATTATTTCGAAAGAAATAGGTACCTACCTAAATTAGGAATAAAAGGTGCAATTCAAACATTTTTTCACGTTGGATTATATCAGTAAGCAAAAAATTTTTCAGTTTCGAACTGTTGAGTTGAAAATTTGTTTGTACAAAAATCTCTCAGGTTCACTGTGGATCCTAGTCTAGTCAAATTATCCGAATGATGTGGTTCAAGATAAAGAATAATATAATTCGGTATTAGGATGTTATAGAGGATATAATAAAGAGAGAACTCATTCATAAATGGGTAGAGGATAATAACTCAAAATGAACTTTTGAAAAAAATAAATGTAGATTATCGCGGAATAAAAAAGATATTTTGCACAGAATCTTGCATTACAATTTGGACATTATCTGAAAAATAAAGTTCACTGTGCGTTGAAACTATAACCTACCTATCACAAAGACAGCGGTAAGCGTCCTAACCGATATATCTATTTAATAAGTAAATACCAATAATTCTTGCGTTTTGGCAAAGCCGACTTCAGACACTAGCTGTGGTCAGAAAGAAATGGCAACAATGTCAGAGATCCTATCTTTTGAAAGTCAGTCATGATCAATTACATGAACATGTAAACTTTTCAGAACATGGTTCCATTAAATATTGATTATTTGTTTTATTCTTATTGTTTCGTGATATTTGTTATTCCATTTTAGTCAGTCTATGAGCATGTATGTTTCTTGGAAATGATGACTATTCGACTTCCTCATTAACAGAGTATATACTTTGTGCCTGTCCCGCTGGGGACCGAATCAGGTCTTTAGAGTTCGGCAGAGCCGTACTCTTATCATCTGACCTGAAAGACCACTCACCATACAAACTAATCGGCTTCGTTAAGATGCTGGGTTCATTTGGCCGAGTGTGAATAGGTGTGAGCCACAATAAACCCTTGAGGGTTGCGGTGGAGGGTCGAATAAACCCACTCACTTTGGACCTAACCTGACCTAACCCAGTTCATCTCGATAAGTTACTGCGTAAATTCAAAGTATTTTCACGAAGGAAAATGTTCTGCTTATGAACTCATGAGGATTTTTTCATAATGTCCAACAAACGATATTTGCAAAATTTGTTTTCAAAACGTATAATAATTATTAATAACATAATTTAAAAAAAATCCTGTTACGTAGGTAATAATAATTACCTAACTAAGAGAGGAAGAATTGTTCTTCTGATCGATGGAATTCACATTAATTCGGGAATGGACGATAGAACTGAAAATTCAGTTCCTAATGTAAATAATGTTGCGAATACCATTTTTGCTTTCGTGGTTTCTTCATCTTTTGGAAACTATGGCTACGTTTAGACGCCGGCATATTAAAGGAAGATTTCTAACAACCGATGTTAGTAGAATTAACGTTAATCCCTATATTTTCATCGAGTGTTCATCACCGCAAAAATGCTAATCTTTCGAGAAACGAATTGGCAGTATAATTGATGTGACAATTTTGTGAAATTCCATAGAGTATGAGGCTGCTTGACTTTCTAAGAAAAAGGCAAATGGTGGGACGGGAAATTATTTAGGATGATTAAATATTTTTCCATTCAGTAGAACCAAAGCATGAAAATAGCAACTTGAAAACAGACAAACTTTTTGACTGAAACGTTTCAAAATAATTACATGTGAGTTCATAATTCATATAGAAATTTTCGGAAGTACCTAAAACAAAATTCGAAAGAGTGTTGTTTCAGACTGAAAAAGTAAAAGTGTTTTTTCATGAAATTGTAAAATTCGTTTCTATTGATGAAATCATACTGGAAATGAAATAGTGTCTTTAGTCATGAATGTTATCAAAAAAGTTAAGAAGTATTGCTTTGAAATTCTGTGTATTATAACTGATAATTGCAGAATCAGTTAAAGTGTATAGGGAAAGTAAGGTTTTGGCTTTCTACTTCTACATTTTTATACAAAAAATGTGAGAATCTTCTTGTAGTTTCGTTGAAAACATTCAATTGAACTGGAAAGTACATGTCATTTGATAGCTCTTCATTTAACTCTGTAGGACCTCCAATTCACGGGTGTGGGGTATCGTCAATTGCCTCTGCACAGCTAGTTGTCGTCTGTCAGTACTTTTGAAGGATGAAGAAAGTGTGTACCCCATCAAAGGTTAGGTTTCTGAAATGTATTCAAAAGTGTTCACAGCATGAGATATTATAAAGAAAGACTACGTAACAGAATACAAGTATAGGATGTATGAATTGACGAGGTGAAATCGATAATTCATGTTTTCAGATTAATAAAATGTTTCCAATATGAACTTCAGTGATAGTGATATTTAACATCACTTTGATTTATTTCTATGAAAATAAAATTTCCAAAATTGAAAAATACGTATCATATAACAACCCAAAATAAACGTCTTTTGGATGATCGAAGAATGTAAACTTTCACGGCCGGAGATAACTATATGAAGGCTATTTTCCGGGTTTTCAGGCCGTGATCTACAGGTTTTTATTCCTGACGTTTCTGTCCACTGCTGTGGTAGACATTATCAAAGGCAATATCCGAACTGGTGCTCTGGTTCTTGTTCCTGTTATATTCAAGGCATATGGATAATTTCAATAGAAAAGAAGAGACAATCAATAATAATAAAAGCTGGCTACCTGTCCTTAGAAGTACATGAACATTTAATTGAATTAAGAACAATATAAATAGAGCGCCCAGTATGGAAATAGTAGTTGATGCGTTGAATACAACAGGAACAAGAACCAGAGCACGGAACGTCATGAATAAAAATCTGTAGACCATGACCAGGAAATTGCCTTCGGGCAGTCTTTTGAATGACAGTCAGAATCACATAATAAAACAAATAATCCTTTCATGAGGAATTAGAATAATTGGTCTTCTTACGTTTTCGAAATGACGTCTTCAATATAAACTTGAAATAATGTTATTTTGGATAACTAATTCCATATTCATCTTCAAATATTTGTTTTTTTTGATACTGAAATGAATTTTAAATATTACAATGTACAATTCACTTATCTTGATACTTCCTGTTGCCTGACAAGTAAGTAATCTCAAACAATTTTTCCAAATTTCTTAACCTTAAAAAATTTTACAACTTCAATTTCACTAAATTCCCTTTTCAACTAGATCACTTACTTTCAGGTGAGCACTGATGATGACGAAAGTCGAAAACGCTTTGCAAGAATTTTAAAATATTATACACTTTAATACAAAACCTCTTCGATTCATTAATACCTCGTTAGTCCTTAGCTCGCACAAGTTTCTCAACTTCTGAGAGTTGTTGTTCGTATGGGGGCGACAGCTGATTAACGGAAAAACAGATTTTAAACAGAAACAGATTATTCGTTTCCAATAATACGGAAGTGAAATATTTTCTTCATGACGTTTTCAATTCATCATCAGAAATACAAATTTTTATTGAATGAAAAATAAGTGCTTTCATCTGCTGAAAGAAAATTATTGAAAATGATACATATCTATGTTCAATCAGATATTCCCATCTGACAAGAGACCATTTATCAGTCTGTGGATCATACTGTTGAATGCTACTATTTTGTGCTGATACGGGGGGGGATGAATTATGAATGCTAATATCTGTATGTGCTGATTTACGACAAATTGAAAGATCATGTTTATTGTTAACTTTAGTTATTGTCAAGTCCAAAAAATTAATAGAGTCGTCCTTTTCCATCTCCATGGTGGATGTGATAGAAGGGCGGAGAGAATTGATGAAATTCAACAATTCAGTCAATTGTCTATTCGTTCCTGTGAAACATATCAGGATATTATCTACATATCTATACCAATACACAAAACTTCTAACTAATGGGTTAGTGTGTATTTTACTCTCCAAATCGTCCATGAAAGTTTGTGCCAGAATGAGACTAAGTGGGTTTTCCATTATGAGACCTTTGCAGGATGAGTAAAAAATTTCATTGAATTAGAAGTAATTCTGTGAAAAACAAACCTTAAGCAAGTCTAATATTTTCTGTTTCACTACAGACTACAGGATTGATAGATTTTTCGTCCAGTACATTCTCTTGAAGAGTAATCGTTTCAATCGGAGTAATACTGGAAACATATTCTTTACATCGAATGAAATCAATTTGGCATTATCCGGGAATGATTGGTCTATCTATAGACGTCTTACGAAAACTATCATGTGATCGATATTTTACAAGAACAATATTTACCGGCGTATTCAAAATTACTTGTTGTATTTTTTTTATTTCCAGGAGGCACATCCATGTAGACTCAAAGCCATACATGTTTTAAATACCGCTTCATGGATTCATCACGTTATGAGACTCATCGTACCACTACTGAAATCTGAACTTCTGAGCTTGATAAAATTTCATACAGGTAAACTGAAGTCAACACTGTTATTTCAATGATTATCTAATGTTATTTTGTAGGTAATATTCCAGAAAACTTTCCTACTGAACTTTTGCCCGCAGAGTATGGTGGTGAAGCTGCAACCATGAAGGAATTTGAAAAAGAGACAGAGTTCCTGCTCGGAAAATATCACCATTGGCTAATAGAGTCCTCAGAATTCAAGAGTGACGAGTCTAAAAGAGAGAAAAAGGCATCTTGGTGGGGACTTTTCAACAGTAGCAATAAAAGTAACGAAATGGATGAGAAAACGGTTCTGAAAAATTTACAGATAGATTGATGATGGCGGCGGTTTATTTTGTTATATTATTATGTATATAGTCCAGGTTGTGAATTATTTTGGTTATTTCGTGTCGCGTGCAACTTTGTTCAATGGGTATTTTAATAGAATATTGAATAATAAAATGAGTTTATACGATGTCATAAGGTTTGTTAGTTCAAGAAGTTGAACCAAACTTTTGATACTTATAATAAAATATAATAGTAAGGATGTCACACGTTGGAAGTTTTATTTGGAATAATTGTGTTGCTTTAGAAAACTGAGATTGAAATTACTTTTAATAGCACCTACATAGCTAACTAGTGATTTTAGTTTCAAAATATTTATAAGTCTTTAATACTACTGTATTTTGAAAATATATAATCGAATAGTTCTGGAACTGACGGAAAGTGATTATAGAAATTATAAAATTGAGTATTATTTTAAAATAATTGCCTGTTTATAGAACAAATTCTTGATTTATTTACTGAATCAATACAAAAACCAATTTTTGAAAAAAAATCATTTCATTTTTCATATTAGTATTAAATAGTTACCTTTCTTTAGATTTTCAATAAAACCTAAAGTAGTAGAAATCTCCCCTAACAAAGTTGAATAAAAGGTAGGTTATAGTATGATTTGTTTCTGATGATATGACTAAGAATTGCGGTTATCATAAGCATTGCTTGTGACGTAACCGATAGTCCAAAATAAATGCATTCATATATACTTTCACATTGTTGAAATGCCTCATTGATTCCTAACAAATATGATATGAAGAAGATGATTTCTATATTGGAAAAAAGTATTTGAAGAATTCATATATTGAGAAAAGCAACACCTTATCGTCGAACATTCCATTTCCCAGGAATGCTATTCAACAAATTTCTTCAAGTAATTTTTCAGTATAAATTTATTACTTATACATCTCAATTTTACTCGTGAAAGTGAATTATTGTATATTTCAAGGCCAATATATACGAACTTCTGGTTATTTGTTGATCTACAGTAAGGTATATTGACAGTCAGATTAGTACGCAGACGTTTGTTATGCGGATGTTGAACATATGTTATTGGTGAAATTAGTATCCGTACTAAACATTGAAAGATATACAATTATCTAGTAATAAGTGATACACTTTAATGAGGGAGTTCTGTATCAATTCTAGATTATGCAGAGAACTGTTGAAGATGTCCACCCCAAACGATTATGCAATATCGTATTATAGATTCAGCTAAGCCATCGTTTCTATAGATAGTAGGGCATGTACAATAAGAAATATTCAAGCAGGATAATTTATGTATTTTGACTGATCTATTTTTCTATTGAAAAGACGTTCCCAACATCAGAACAAAAATTACGACGCGCGTTTCGCTAACCAAGATAGCGTCCTCAGGAGATCATTATGACTAAATTCTACTACTATGTTAGTGTTTTCATATCCTGGTGGCCTAACTACTACCTGTTAGTACGAGTATTACTTAACTACACCGGTTAGCTAACTACTAACTGTCATTGATCCAATGCTAAACTACCTAGTACCTCTAATTTGTCATGTATTTCCTCAATGTTAGTGCTTGTCTGTAATATTCATCTGTTTTTCATTTAGAATTATTACGTATAAGACCAAACAAATGGTCTAGCCCCTCTTGACCTGTACGTTAAGGATGTTGCGTTATTGGCCATGTTACGATTGCGCACCGCTGGTGTAAACCTCGAATTAGAAATGGGTCAATTGAGGCTAAGCCTATGACGAGAAGCGCTTACTGCGCAACCTCTGCTGCGGGCAACCAGTGATGCAATTAAACACCTCTGGACCTGTATTTTAAGGAGGTTGCGTTAATGGCCATGTTACGATTGCGCACGGCTGGTGTAAACCTCGAAGAAGAAATGGGTCAATTAAGGCTGAGCCTATGGCGAGAAGCGCTTACTGCACAACCTCTGCTGGGGGCAACCAGTGATGCAATTGAACCCAGGTTTGTGTTTAATAAACCCTACAAAATACAAATAAATTAGAACACAGAGTCAGATGCTACAAATGCAATACGCATATATTCAGACGGCTCAAAAACCAAAGAAGGCTCAGAATGTGGAGTGTACTCCAGATCACTAAGCCTAAGGAATAAGTGGGGAATGGGAGAAAAAATACCAGCGTGGTTCAAACAGAACTGGCTGGTATCTCATCTGCCACAAGAAATAACCAGGAAAGGATTTTCTGGCAAAAACATAACAATCTGCACTGATAACAGACAAGCCCTGTTAGCCTTTAACAGACAACGTGTTTCCTCAGGGGTAGTACGTGCCACCAATATTTGGCCAAAGCCTCTGTAGATGATAACATTATTCTGAAGTAGATTAAAGGACACGACAGGAGTAAAGGTAATCGCATCGCCGACTCTCTAGCCAAGGAAGCGGCTGGACTAAGACTTTTAGGACCCAGTGGCACTTACGGCCTGATGACTTCGACAATTGCGGAACTAGCCAAAGGTCACAACCATGTTCAATCCCTAAAGTGGAATAAGATCAATGGATGCAATCTTGCCAGGATCACGCTGGGCGACCCTGGGAAGCTGGCGCCGAAGAACTATCTGGCGATGACCAGGAAAAATCTACGCTTAACAGTAGGATTTCTGACTGGCCACTGTCAACTAAGGAAACACCTCCACAATATGGGTCTAGTGGACACACCTCTATGCAGGATGTGTGAACAGGAAGATGAAACTGTCAGGCATGTCCTATGTGAATGTCCGGAGTTATCGTCAATAAGAGAGTGTGTGTTCGGCGAGTCTTGGCCTACACCTGCTGATATAAAGGAGATGTCTCCTCTGGAAAGGACAGGATGGACAATGACCTAGGAGGACAACTCCTTCGAAGAATGTACAGTGGGTCACATGTGACCTAAGTGCTGTGGGTCTACTCTCACCCTCCCTACTCTACAGATACAGAGAAGATCAAACAAAGGGCCGTTCGAAATAGGACCTATGTCACTATTTATAGAACTCATTCCACACTTTTCAATCTCCAAGCTTTCGAAGGCACCCAGAAACCTATTGTCATGTACCGGTCTCAACAATTTTAAACATTTGTCACTCATTCTATCGTCGTTCTCTATAACATGTTGAGCGTCACTAGATTTCTCCGGTCTATGAAACCGAACATGCGAAACATGTTTCTTGTAGCGAACTGATATAGTCCGTTTGGTTTGACCAACATATTTCTTATCATAATCCTCGCAGCTTATTTCGTAAATCACAGCCTTTTTTCCCAACGTCATGTCTTTAGGACTGCAAATTAGCCATGGAAGGTGACAACGGATTTTTCATTTCCGTACCCTCATGTTGCCCATACAAACAGATGGCGAATTGGAAGCAATTTACTTACATGCGAATTATGGTAAGCCGGATGTACTCTTCGACTACTTCACTACTTATTTCATTTTGTGATGGTATTTCACCACTTATTTCACTTTGTGGTGGGAACAGCAAGGGAAGAGTTGAATTACTTTCCACGAACCTGAATCCGATACGTGGATGATGTATTTGCCATTTGAGATACTAATAGGAGTTTGTATTTTGCCTCAACAACGGATTTGCAAATATGAAATTCACGCATGAAATTGAAAATAACGAAGAACTTCCATTCTTGGATGTACTGAAGTTTCATGTATATAGAAATAATACGAAAACTTTCACGTATATTCCTAATAGCTCCCATCATTGCCCACAACAAAAAATTTTACTCTGATTTCTTGTCCATAGACTGCTCACATTTTCTTTGAGCAAAGAAAGGTATGAGATTTAGAACAAAGTTGTTAGGGAGGTGGCTGGAAGCAACAGGAAGTATCTTCGTAATGCCTCAACTTTTCGAAAAGAGAAAGATTCAAAATACCTAGTGCTCCCATATAAAACCAAATACACCAATGGGATGGTCCGAACGATCAAAAAATTGAAGATAAGAGTGGCTTTCAAAACTTCACGTACACTTCAACAAGTGTCAGGCAGTCCGAAAGACAAGACGTTGGAAAAAGAAAAGTCTGAGATTCACGAAATGAGCTGCGAGGATTGTGATGAGAAATATGTTGGTTAAATCAAACGGACTATATTAGCTAGATACAAGGAACATGTTTCGCAGGTTCATTTCATAGACCGGAGAAATCTAGTGTCGCTCAACTTGTCATAGAGAACGACTATAGAATAAGTGAGAAATGTTTAAAATTGTTGAGACATGACGACAGGTTTCTGGATGTCTTCGAAAGCTTGAAAGCTTTGTTAGAGACAAGCACTATCATTGAGGAAATACATGACAAATTAGAGGTATTAAAAACATGTAGTTTAGCATAGGATGAATGACAGTTAGTAGTTAACTAATACCAACCGGTGTGGTTAGATAATACTAACAGGTAGTAGTTAGACCACCAGTATATAAAAACACTAGCTTAGTAGTGAATGAAAGTTAGTCATAATGATCTCCTGGGAACGCTAACTTGGTTAGCGAAACGCGCATCAAAAGACCATAATTTTTGTTCTGGTGTTATGAAAGTGTTTTCAATAGATTAATTTCACGCCAGAGGTTCCAGTACGAACTATCATGATCTACTTTTGTTGACGCAAAAGCCATATATTCAGTTTTTTCCACATTGATACTCACTCCACCATTCAAAGATAATTTTTTTCTCAGTTTCGGCCAGATGATGTATTTCATACCATTATTTCCCGAGAAAACCAACAGTCGCTACATCAGCGAATGTTATTACGTACCCAGCAAAATTTTTGATGTTGAAAATACTATCGATATACAGGGTGTCCCTGGACTTCCTCTTTTCCTCTCGGGAATGTATAGATGGGGTCAAAATATCACCAGTACTTCATATAACTTTTTTTCCTAAAATCCTTCGTTACCAAGTAACGGGCCCTCGAAGTTACAAAATGATCAACACGTAGTGTCAAGAGGCGGTGTTTTTGAATATCAACTCGATATTTTATAGCTTTTTATTCACCAAAACAAAAAAAAAGTTTCTCATTTTCAACTTTAGGAAGAACGGTGATATGACGATGGTTATTGAGAATGTTATTACGAATCGAAGTTCATGATGAAACATAGGGTGTTCCAATCAAAAAAATATTATTTTATGAAATATTTTGAAAAGGGACTGTCAATTTTTTTTGTTTTCGGCATCAAGAAGGCGTTAAAAATGCTACTAGTTCGTCCATTTAACTGAATTCGTAGCATCAATAATA